ATGTACCTTATTCAACCAGGGGGAGTGAATTCGATTTTGTTACAACTTGTTTATTTTTTTAAATTTTATCGTGTCATTCTTCTTCTTCTTCTGCGTTCGACATCAGTCATGCTACACATTGAGTCCCGTCTGGGTCAAAAATAGGATTGTGCGCTTAAGGTCGCCACCGTGTCAAATATACTGTTGTCTGCTGCATTTTAAGAAATGCTAAAGATCTCTTTTACACGATATGAAATTTTTCTTAAACTGGAGAAATCTATTACTGTAGTTACACTTATGTCCTTATTAGGACGAAACTTTTTGTTCTTTGAAACCCCACCCTGGTTTTTGCCAGGGGCCGCAATATAGGCAGGCCATAAATGTGGCCAATTGTCTGAACGCGGTTTCTGGGACCTCTCCACGGTGATCCTCACCCGCATGGTGGCACGTTGTGTCATCGGATTTTTATCGCTTGTGTGATGTCCTAGTGGGGTAGAAATTCATTCATTCATTCACTATTACTGAGCTTGCAATGTGGTTATTTGGTTTGTTTAGTCAGAGGGAAGGCATACAAATACAAAGAGAGAGAAATACATTTTTTATAACTTGTCATCCCCTCGTGGGATACAATATTTCGTTATTTTGAAGCCCCATCCCGGCTTTTGCCAGGGGCCGCAATATAGCCGGACCTTAATTTAAATATGGCCTATCGGCTGAAAACCGTTTCCAGGACCTCTCCACGGGTGATCCTCATCCGCGTGGTGGCACTTTGTGTCATTGAGTGTGTATCGAGCTGCGTGATGTCCTCGTGGGGTAAAATGTACGGCTACTAACTTGATTTTTATGGTTACACCAGATTTGTTTCATTGATTACATTTAACTTACAGCGTTCAGTTAATGCCGGTGTGGTGGGTAATGAATAGGCAGACATATTGGCTGGATCTGCACCACTGGGCGGTGAATTGATACATGACAAGGCAGATGTGGTCAAGGCCCTTTGGGAACAAGCAACTAGAGAGAATGAGGCATCTGGGTGTAACCAAAGAGTCTGGCCTGCTCACTACACCCAGAGGTAAGACAAGACGGACACTGTGACTGGTACCATCAGTACTGGAACTCTGCGCTGGCTGCTGAAAATGAGGACGGAGCATGCATGGGAATACCCCAAGTGCCGATATGTCAATTCTTGACTCAACTCAACTCAACTCAGCTTACAAACGTAGCTAGTTGTTGCAGTTTGCCGATCGGAAAGCATATTAATTACGTTTAACACTAGGAAGTAAATTTTCTTCTGCTTTTACTATTTGCTGTAATTTAAAATAGATTCAAACCAACAATACAATACATTGCAGATTCTACACTTTAATTTACTTTTAAAAATGTTACTTCAAAGCTCCACTACGCTTTTTGTCGGGGGCACTAATATAACCTTATGATCAACAACAAAGAAAGAATGGAAGAACAGAAGGAAAAAATGAAAGAAAGCAAGAAAGAAAGAACAATGAGTCCTAGAACAAAGAAATAAGGAATGAAAGGAGAAAACAGAAAACCAGGAACAAGACAAGAATTAAATTAAGAAGGAAAGAAAGAAGCCAGTAACCTAGAAATGAGTATCAAAAGAAGGAAGGAAGAAGAAAGACAAATTGGTGACCTAGTTTAAAGAGAAAAGACAGAAAGCAAACTATGACCCAGAATCACACGGGGAAATCCCTGCATTTCCTAATCTGAATTGACTTCCTGACTCAGCTGTGTCAGCTGTGTGTGTACAAATACTAATACAGTAGAAGGGAAAACCTGTCTTATCAAAGTCTCCAGCAACTACTGGAACAGCAGCAATAACACCAGTTAAGTTGGCGATTTCTACAGCAAATATTTGTGGAATTGTTACTTGAAGTAATTATTATTTGTTGTAATGTAGGGTAATGAATGTCCTTAGTTACTTTTAGTTATTAACGGAATACAGTACTCAATGTAATCTTCTTGTAAGGTAACATTGTTAGTTTAGTTATCAGTATCCTACTATACTGCATTTCGTATACTTCTTACCTCTTATTTCATCCCTCTGTTGGACTGCAGGTGCAAACAGTATTTCTAGCATTTGCTTCTGTCTGATTCTCAACTGTGAGGTGTTAAGTTAGTCAATAGTCATAATAGAGGAACTTTATCCGAATGAAAAGTATATCAGTGAGCTTCACCATATAATAAACACAAACAAAACGTAAACGTTGCCACGTTGCGGCTGTGGAGCCTTCTTCAACACATACATAGAAGTCCTAATTGAGGCAATCCTGGAAGGGAAAAATGACCCCACTGTTGGGCATGCCCCACTGTTGCCACCGAATCCAGCACTTCATGGCCTGAGCATGTAGGGTGTGCTCTGTGAAGTGAATTGTACACTTTGTTAGTTTACGTTTACCGAACTGTGTTTGGCATCAGCCTGTATAGGATTAGCCATTTCAGAAGTGGGATTTAAAATATTACCTAAACTTTAGGTGTGTATTTATAAATACACATATAAATCCCAATTATAACACAGATAGTTTGAAAAGCATATGGTTGTTTAAATTGATACTACTATAAATCTTTTAAAAGTAAGATTAGGAACAAACTTTTTTCCAGTATTATTATTAACTGTATTAATATGAAAATAAATTTAACATCAGAATATAGATTATCTCTGTGACCAGGAAATAACAGCACATCAAATATATATAAAGATTAGCCAGATGTATTTCTTCTTCTTCTGCGTTCGACATCAGTCATGCTAAACATTGAGTCCCGTCTGGGTCAAAATTAGGATTGTGCGTTTAAGGTCGCCACAGGTCCCCCATAGCTTCTCTTGCAATGTGGATCCCCTGGGCCAGATCCACAGTCTTTGCTGGGAGAGGTAAGGGCAGTACTGCAGTATGTGCTCAGGGATCTGTCTTTTTGCTCCACATTCACAGGCAGCAGATTCTTTTATGCCTATCCTGTACAGGTGTGCTCGAAGACCACAGTGTCCAGTCCGAAGTAGCCAGATGTAACCAGCTGGATGCTGTTAACATACATACAACAACTATCTTTGGGGAGCCCTTGAAGCTATTGAATTAGTACGATAAGTTGGGTTAAGTGTTTCACACTAGGGAATTCACTATATGTTTATTGGTTACACTAGTTAATGTATGCATTATGTACTTTCCCTTCTCATCCTTCTGTTAAGTCAATCCTGTACTTTCATCTTATTTCTATAAACGAATAATACCATCATTTACTCTGTCAGGATGATTTTTTTTTTTTTCTGGGATTTGAATAGCATTAATTTTGAACTGAATTTGTTTAACTGCAATAAGACAAAGCAAAAAACCTTCCTAAAGAAACAGTCATTACTGTATGGTGACATATAAAACATCACATTAAAGAGAAATTAATACAGAATACATCTAAACAATTTAAGGATCAGCATTCCGAGAAATTGGACAAATTGGACTCCAAATTAACACCGCAAAAACAAAAATTCTAGACCTTACCAACAGTTCAGTTGATATCACGCTGAACAACAACAGCCTTGAAAAAGTCAACAGTTTCACTTATCTAGGGAGCAAGATGTCATCTACAGGAGATACCGCACCAGAAATACCATTTAGAATAGCACTGGCATCTAGTGCCTTCAATAAACTGTCTAACATCTGGAAATCAAAGACACTTAGCAAACACACAAAACTCAAGATCTTCAATTCTTGTGTGATTCCAGTACTAACCTATGGATGCGAGAGCTGGAAATCAACGAAATCTCTAGACACAAAATTAGACAGTTTTGAAAATAAATGCCTTAGAAGAATACTAAATTCCAAATGGTCAGATTTCCGAACAAATACACAAATAAGGCAAGAATCCAGGCAAGAGTATGTGTCTAATTTTATACGAAAACGCCGCTGGAACTATGTCGGCCACGCCCTTAGAATGGATAAATCAAGACTTCCTTACCAAGCCCTCATTTGGACACCACAGGGGAAAAGATCTCGTGGAAGACCAAGGGAAACCCTACGTAGAACTATCATCAGGGAAGGCTCGCTCATGGGCCATTCAAACATCCAAGACCTACAACGGATTGCAACGAACCGCCATGCATGGAGAGTCATGACCTCTGCCCTATGTGCCGCACTCGACACAAGAGGAAAGACTAACTAACTAACTAACTAATTCCGAGAGAAATATAACAATGACACAACATTCAAGGATATAAGATACACATAAGGATGTTTTACACATTAAATGCTGTGCTTATGTTTATTTTTTACTTGATCAATAACACTGCTATCAATTTCTAAGAAGTCAATGCCTTCTCTATTTATTTATGCATCAGACAGTCTTTATTTGAGACTATTAACCTAAATAGTTTGGATTTTATGGCCATTTATAAAGATTTAACTTTCCCAACAACCAAATTCCAGACAAAGCTGATTGAAACACTTATGATCCAGTTGAAATGTTTTGTTCCACTTCATCCTAACCCATATTTTTGGCAGCAGGTTTTGCACTTGCATGATTATTTATAAGGTCAAGACTATTGTCATTATCCTGCTGAGTTTCATCAATGACAGTAGCCAGTTCTAGACCTTTTCCCTTCCATTTTGTCTGGAAACTCACACACATATTTTATCACACTGATAAAAAACAAAGAATTAAAAATGTAACCTAATGCCTCACCACACTTGGAAAATTATAATACTTCCTTTACGTAATTCTAGTTTTCAAAACATATTTATCCCGATTCATTTTCCTACCGAAGAAAACAATATTAGAGTGTCTGTTCCGAGTGCCAGTAAATCTGTGACATGGCAAAACAGGATGGATTATCGCACTGATATATCAGCAATACATACTTAAAGAGTTAATAACACTTGATGTAGTTTAGTCTAAACAAGATTTGAGAACTCAAAATTAGTATAGTAACTGATAATATTCTGCCACTTCATATTATCTTTTTAGATTTTTTGTGTGTTCCAGATACCAGTTAGAAGACTACACAGGGACCCTTGATCATGATTTGTCCCAGACACTTGAGAGTTTTCATCAGTGTTGTTATATGCATCTTGATTAGTACAACCAGTGGCAGATCCATCTATAATGACTATATGCAGCAAAGAAAGCAGTTAATTCAAGATGACAGCAAGTTGAGAATCGGAGGTAAATTGGTGCTAAGGTCAGATGAAAAGCTTGTCAGTGATTTCTTTATGAAGGTGAGTTGTTGTTTGATTGCTATAATTTTATTGTGTAATCACTATGCCATTTACAGCATAATAAAACAGTCCCAAGTGTCTCTCTCTCTCTCTCTCTCTCTCTCTCTCTCTCTCTCTCTCTCTCTCTTCTTGTACCCCACCAAGACATCACACAAATGATAAACACCTGGTGTCACAAAGTGCCACCATGCGGATGAGAATCACCCATGGAGAGGTACCCCTTTCAGCCGTTAGGCCATTTTTGTGGCCCGGCTCTATTCAGGGCCCCCAGCAAAAGCCAGGGTGGGGCTTCACATAACAAAAAATTGCATCCGACATGGGGACGACTAGTACTAATTAAGTCCCAAGTGGTGCAAAGACCCATCTCATACAAAGCATATTCATCGCCACCTCAGCTGCCAGTGACATGGTCACTGACGTCAAGTCAGAAAAGAAAGTTAGTAACCTTTAAACTAAGGTATCTGAGAAAGGTCGCACAATTGACCAGAAGAGAGAAAATCAGGAATGAATTCAAAGAGAGAAAAAAGTCAGAACCAATACTAAATTGCATACAAAGACAGCAAATAAAATGGTTTGCCCAACTTAGAGGTAATTCCTTTTGAAACTATACCACACAAAGCATTCGCCAAAAGAGAAGAAGAAAGTAGAGCACAAGGTCGACCATGGACAAGATAGAAAAGAAGTCTACAAAGAGTTTGACTATCAGCCAACACCAAGTCCTTTATAGCCTTATTCATTGCAACTACAGCATTGCAGCTAAGAATAAATAGAATGTTAACATTCATTTTAAAATGTGCAGAAAACAAGGGGATAGATCAGCATTGGTTGTGACAAGGGTTCTTCACATTCTAATATTTTGGCAATAAAAGACAGTAAATGTAGCATTAGTTAGCGTCCTGAGGCTTACAAATCTGGAGATATTGTTTCTCATGTTTGGTGATACTGTATTTGAAAGAAAGAAAAATTGGAAATGCTGTGATATAGACAATTTGAAGTTGATTATAAAGTGACTGTTAGTAAAGATGAATTTTCTATGAATCTATTCTTCTTCTTTGTGTGTGTGTGTGTGTGTGTGCCCTGATAACCCCCCCCCCCCCCCCCCTAGTAGTTTAACATAGGCTGTTGACCAGATCACATCAAGTTGCTGCGTGGTTTAATATTTATACCATTGTGTGCACATAAGATTTTGTTTTACTGTCTTCACTAACAGGAAAAAACCAAGATAATCGAATCAAGCCGACAAAATCTCACTCTGTACATGCCAGCTGTTAGTTTTTTCTTGTCTAAGCCACAGATAGATAACTCCACTTTGCTCAAGTTAATTCAGCGAATGCCCAAAGGTAAGCAGCCTTGAGGTTACTAAGTTAAAGGGATGTATTTGAGAATAATGGAACATGTTGTAACCACTGGAAAGATTTGTGTAAGGAGGGATAGAGGAAGACAACGAGAGAAAATTCTTGACAGTCTTGTTGCATGGCATGGAGGTGAGTTAGCACACGAACTGATACATACTGCAGGAGATTGTAGATTGTGTAGAGGCATGATCACCCAAGCCAGCCTGCTAGGCACCTGATGATGATGATTTGAGCATAATAGTGTTTTTTGTGTGTGAGGGTTATAATTTTGAGAGGTTTTGGTGTCCATCTCTGGTACAGAAGTAATTTTTCCTATCCCATTATAGTCATTGTCATCAATCAGTAGGTCCTTTACAGAACATCACTTTCCTCACTGCATACCTGAAAGTCTTTCTTTCTCTAGTCAGTTCTTCTGCCCTTTGTGCTTTTATAGCCACTGCACCTTCTGTATCTTGTATACACCATTGTAGAAGTCTGAATCAGTCTGGTTTTCCAGAAACTGTACTGTGTTTCACTGTTTTCTCCAGGCCGCCTTGATATTTAACTTGGCCAAAACACCCCAGCTTCAGGGACAGGATGTGTTTATGAGCCAAATCTCCTTGCTGCTCAGATCGTGTATTTCTTCCAATATAGTACCAGCAATTTTTACAAACAACTATTGCTTTCTGTATCACATGCTTCTATGGTCTCTTGGCTACTGAGGAAAGAGATCTGGCTATCTGGTTTAAGGGAAAAATGAAGTCACTTGTGGAAAGTGACACCTTAAAGTAAAGGTATAAACACTCAGAATCTTGCTTATCAGCATTTGGCCTCTTTAAACTGTCTCTAACTGTTGTTTATGTTTGCTGCAACCTTCATGATTCTGGACCAGGTTGTTTTAGGTTGACCTTTTATGATTTCCTTCTGGAGTCACCTTCACTTAAAAAGTCATAAAGACTGAGCAGTAAGATCACTCCTCCGTTAAATTATTAACAGGGAAAGTTAAAGTCGAGAAGATCAACTTCTTGCACTGGTTCTATCCCTGTGGCTCGGGTTCTATCTGCAGAACAGCTGTCTGCCTGCCATGATCATCACACAAAGCTCAAACTCTATAGTTCCAGTGATGATCTACAAGGATTTAGGTAAAAACTTCACTTATGAACTGAATGACAAAGCCGTGAAATGAACCTACAACCTTCAGAACGTAATTCAGATGGTTTGACCACTTTGAAATGGAGACATAGGTTAACAAGGAAAAACTTCTTATAATAAAATAGAGCATATTATCTTGTTTGTATGGAATCTGCTTAGAGAAAGTAGTCAGTTGCCTGGTAAAGTGAGATACGCAGATCTCAAGGTTAAAAAGACAGGTGCATTACAAACTGATGCATTCATTTCGAAAGAGGAATGTTGAAGAATATTAATAATTGTAAAATAATAAGTTAGTTATTGTGAAAAGCAAAAAAAAAAAAAACATTATTTATAAAATATTTTATTAATTCAAGTAAATCTCATGCTCCCCAATTAGATAGAGCACAGACCCTCAGTCAACACACGGCAAGTTACCCCATCATTTGCCCTTGTATACAGCAACTTACCCCATCATTTGCCCTTGTATACAGCAACTTACCCCATCATTTGCCCTTGTATACAGCAACTTACCCCATCATTTGCCCTTGTATACAGCAAGTTACCCCATCATTTGCCCTTGTATACAGCAAGTTACCGCATCATTTGCCCTTGTATACAGCAAGTTACCCCATCATTTGCCCTTGTATACAGCAAGTTACCGCATCATTTGCCCTTGTATACAGCAAGTTACCCCATCATTTGCCCTTGTATACCGCAAGTTACCCCATCATTTGCCCTTGTATACAGCAAGTTATCCCATCATTTGTCCTTGTATACAGCAAGTTACCCCATCATTTGCCCTTGTATACAGCAAGTTACCCCATCATTTGCCCTTGTATACAGCAAGTTACCCCATCATTAGCCCTTGTATACAGCAACTTACCCCATCATTTGCCCTTGTATACAGCTCCTCCTATGTGCTTCTTGTCATTTTCATCTCTGCGCTTCTCACTTTTTTTTTCTTTTAAAGTTTGAAGGGCAGAATATAAAACATGCCTAGTTTTTAACCCTTTGAAAATAAACTTCATTTGTTTGTTAAGTTTGTTCTTTCATTCTTGAGTTCTGTAAGATCCAGTTCTATTAAATTCTAGTTATATTATTATAATGTTTTCTCAATGTGAATTCTATCCAATGCCAGCAACTTTTCCTCACCTCTTGATTCATAGGAATTTACTTAGTTCTCTTCCAAAAATTAGCATTAATGATTCTGTCATACAATTTATTTCCCTCTATTCTGCACGGCAACAGTTAATAAAATGTGTAGTCTACTGAGAAATTTTTAAATTCTTTATATTTGTGCTCCAGCGAGAAGTACTGATTCAATGTTTAAATAAAATATTCTGAATTTGGTATTGGTGTTAAATTTCCTTTGCATTCTACAGGTTACCTGATGCTATAATTTTTATTAGTAACAGAGCCCCATTAATTTTTGAATTATTGCTAAACATCTTAATTGCAGAAAAAATATTTTGTTCTCCGAGAAAGATACATTTAAAATGTTCTAACTGCACTGTTGTGATGGTCACCAGGTGGTGCTCTTCACCTACATGACATGTCCGTGACAAGTCTGGACTGGTTAATCAAGAATGCCACCTATAGAGACAATGTCTACATGTGTGTGGGTGATGACAGTTTGATCAACTTTCATGTTTTCAAGAGCCCACCTAAACACTCAGGTAGATATGTCTGCTCATGGGGATGAAAGTAATTAGAATGTGAATGCCTCAGAAATATGTATTATATGTTTATGTGTGCGTGTACGTACAACTATGTTTGGGAAAGAGAGAATGACAGAGAGAAAAAAAGGGGGAGGGGGTGGTGAAGGGAGAGAGTGAGAAGGGGGTGGTGAAGAAGTGGGTAGAGGGGGTAATGTGGGGAGCGAGGGAAAAGCGGATGGGAACATGAAAACTGCAGTGATAAGGTTTTATAAAAGATTTAGGAAAATGTTATGACCTGATAAAAAGTGTAATGAAGATATTTTGAAAGTTACTATTTCTTCTTCCTCTTCTGCCTCTCTAATGCCTAATGGAGCATAGGCCCTCAACCAACTCACACCACGTCATTCTGTCCTTCACTATTGCATGCAGTTCTCCCCATGTCCTTTCCATTTTTTGCTCTCTAGCTCCTTTCTCCATGTATTTGTTGGTCTTCCTTTATTTCTGTGCCCCTGTTGACTCCGGCCCAAACACATTCTAGTTATATTGTTATCAGGTTTTCTCAGCGGGTGTCCTATCCTACACCAGCATCTTTTCTTCACCTGTTGATCCCCTGAAACCTGTTTAGTTCTCTCCCAAAGCTCTTCTTCTTCTCTTCCATCAGGTACTTCAGTAGAGTGTTGAGGGAAGATGTAAGGATTGCCTATGTCCTCTTTCTAATCTAAAATACAGACTGGTCTTCATATCTCTAAAGTTGTACTTGATATATAGGTTTGGTCACCTAATGAGAATGGAACCAACGATGCCAGCATCAAGAGCATACAACATGAAAATCGAAATACCAAGAGGCAGGGGAAGACCAAGAAGAAGATGGATTGAAGGAGTCACGGACAACTTGAGACTTCATAATATCACGTCATCTGATAGACTGCGACGCCTAGCGGCACAAGCAAATTTTGACAAAAGAAGAAGAAGAAGTACTTGATATAATTGTCCCATCTTTTGCTGTTCTTCCTGTTGCTCTGTGTTTTTTCTATTTCATCTGGTTACTCTCTGTGGCAGTTGGTACCAGGACATTCTTGTCAGATGGCCAAACCATCTTTCCTATTGCTTGTATGTGAATGACTGGTTTCACTCTTAGCACAGCACTATTAAATAAATAAAAGTAAACAGTTTGAGAACAATTCATCTTTCTTTTGGCGACATGGGTTAAATCCTTTCATCCTGTTAGTGCTTAAAAAAAAAGTCCTGAACCCAGAGAGATTTCTAGTAAAAATCTGTAAAAAAACAAATACACAAACAAACCAATTTTACACAGGCCACTAATAAATAAAAAAAAATATATGTATCTACATTTTCACCCTCCATATAATAAATCTATCAATAACTAATATATAAAGATATATGAAAGGATTAATCAATAAATACATTATAGTAAAGCATTAAATGGAATACATTCCCCATGGCATAACAAACTATTTGTATTGAGTGACTCATGCTGTGACCCTATGATCTCTATCACTTATAGGAAAATTCATAATTACGGGGAAATTTGATATCAACTTGATGTCATAAGGCCACACCTCCCCCCCCCCCCCAATGCTATTTTAGTTACTATATTCATATTTCATATCCTGGCCTATTAAATACTGCACAGGCACACATGAAATCAATGGAATCTAACTATGCTTCTCAAGAACAAGTCTGTGCAGACAGGCCTAAATATCAGTATCTGTGTGACTGTGTAAAGTGACTAGATTTAGTCTTCAGTCACAGATTTATATTGTAGACTATTTCACGCTTTTGGTCACTGTAACCTTTCTCGGACTTCTCATTTCTGTGGCTGATTATTGGCTGTTACTGTTATTAGTGACAATTTCTATCATTTGTAGTATTGGAAAGGGGGGGGGGAATAAATATTGTTTATGTTATGTTTCTCATTTGCAGCTACAAAGCTGCACTGTTTCTTTTTCCCCCTGCCAAAGCTGTTTTATTTTTCTCATGTGCACAGATCTATATAGTATTCATTTTATGCAGCAAAACTGTATTGTTTGTTCTTTTGTGCAAGAAATCTGTATTATGTTTCTTATGTGCAAAAAATCTGAATTTTTTTCTTTTGTGCAACAAATCTGTATTATGTTTCTTATGTGCACCAGTCTGCCTTTGTTTTCTTCTTCTTTTTCTTCAACTCCTTGTCACCCTTTGGCAGAGATTCATAGACGACAGAGCAGTATGAACAGTTCTAGACCCTTATCATTTAGTATAGAAAAATTACGTAAAAATTGTATCCCATCTAAATAGTTTTTTTAATCAGAAAAAAATGCACCGACCACGATGAACTTCGTAAACGAAAGGACTTTCTGTTGTTAATCCTAATTGTTCAAAAACTTGTTCATAAAAGTTTGTTTTTCCCATAAACGGAACAAAAATCTAGTTTCTCTATCATACGCCAATATGCTGGCAACTCGTCCATTAGGGATAAATTAATTTGCCAGTATACTGGCGATACGTTTTTAAAGAGTTAATAAACTGTATGCCATTAATAATAATTCAGTATTGTTTCTTATGTGCAACAAATATGTATTATGTTACTCATGTGCAACCAGTTTTGTATTGACATACAACAGATTGTGTCTGGCATTCTGTAAAGGATGAAAGGGCAAAAGCAGCCAGCGTGGATGACTTTGATTTAATGTAGGTATTGATGGTCTTTTGCCTGTGTTTTTCACATTAAATTTAGTTTGCTATTTATCAATATTTATGTATGATATGGGTAACATTGTTTTGTCAGCATCTGTTGCTTAGATGTTGCAGACGCACTTTGTAATACAAGTTACCTGGTTTCATTCCATCTGTGGACGATTTGGCAGCAGACTGCTTTGTGTCGATTTCAGCAGTGGTAGCGAGCTGACCGTTCAGATAGCAAAAGCAAACTGAATGTCAGAATAGCTTAGTAAAGCCAAAAGCCAATAAATGCTGGGGTTGTCTCTGCAATGTCCCATAAAGGATATGCAACTAAAACTGTTTATTTTTTAAAACTTAATTTATTTCTTATTGAATATTGTTGCCAATTTCTGATATGGTTATTTTGTTAATTTCTGATTTGGTTAACTTTGTAAATTTCTAGCCTAATCATTTCACATACAGTTTATTTTGTAATTTCTTATGTAGCAGACTTCTATAGCATGGTTGCTGTAATGTTTCTGATAGTCATGTGTTTGTTTTGATGGGAGATAATTTTTAAGGACTACATTTAGCCAGTCTAGATGCATAGACAATAGAAATCTTCTTATTCTTCTTTTCATTCGTCCGAGTGACGTGATTGCATTTTGCCTGCTTACTGCACAGCTGCAATATTTGTCCCTTTTGGCCGACACATTTGACTTCTTTGAGTATTTGTAGACCGGGTTAACTTACCAGATGATGCATGGAAATGAATCGTGGACAGTCATTCAGTTAGTTAGTGACAAATTATGTGACAAGCTGCAGAGATCTGAATTTTTATTAAAGTTGGTAATACCATAGACAGACACTGAAATAAAGAAGTCTTTGAAAATCAATAAAAAATTCATGAAAGAGAGAAATAAAGAAGTCTTGAAAGAGAGAAATAAAGAAGTCTTGAAAGAGAAAATAAAGAAGTATTGAATGAGAGAAATAAAAAATTCTTGAAAGAGAGAAATAAAGAAGTCTTGTAAAAGAGAAAAAAAAAAAGTCTTGAAAGAGAGAAATAAAGAAGTCTTTAAAAAGATTAATAAAAAGTTCTTGAAAGAGAGAAAAAAAGAACTGATTATCTGCATTAGAAGAAGACACCCAGATTCTTTCAACACATGGGGAGAAGGGTGGGGGGGGGGGGGGATTTAAAGGCCTAAACACAGCAACGATAGGCAGAAATTAAATCATTATCATCATGTACAATCCAAATAAGCATAGGCTATCATGTTCTGAGACCAATGTTACAAATACCTTGGGTACTAACAACGATTGCATGAAAGAAGCTAATGAAAGTAGATCTCTATATACAACAATAAGAAAGAGACAAACGCTGTTCTTTGGCCACATATTGAGAAGAGAGACATTGGAGAACATTGTGACATCTGGAAAGATCCGTGGAAAAAGAGGTAGAGGCAGACCAATAGAGATGATGCTGGATGGGCTGAAATGATTGCATGGAGGGATATCATCAAGAGAGCTGTTTCAGGCAACCATGGATCATGATTTGTGGAGATGCATGAGCTCCTACGCCAGTTGGCAGGGCACATGATGATGATAATATCACGTTTTGCCATTTCAAATGATCACCAGAATCACATATCAGGTCAGTGTTATTGTCTCACCCCTATCCATAAGGCTGAACCATTCAGGTATTTATCTTTTTTTGCCTTTCTCATGCTCTCTTTCAATCAAGCTTGCCAGCAGTTACCAAGCCCTCAAGTGCATTCCTTCTCACAATATGTCCTAAGTAGAAAGCATTTGAAAATCGCGCTTAACCTCCCTCACCTGGATCTACACACCTGGTCATGCTGGGATAAAGGTTAATGATTGAGCCAACCAACTGGCAAGCAATGCACCAATGTATGTGGGAAGAAGTATGGACAGAGCAGATATCATTATTGGACTAGGCTAGTGGGAGTCAAGCACAGTGAGTCATGTCTGTGCCGCTTTCGAGGCCGAGATAAGAGACATTATAACTAACCTCTCATGGGAACCGTTAGTAGAAGGACCTTGGAGTGGCTGCAGCATCGTAGGACTGAGCACGCACGGGAATGCCGAATGTGCAGTGACGTCGATTGTGATAATATAACATAATATGTCCTAAATAACACCAACTGCAGCATCTAAATTTTCTAATCAGTAGACATGCGTCTCACAGAGTACTGCATCATTTGTTTTTCTATCATTCTGTGAATTTCTTGGCATTCTTCTCTTAAACCACATCGCTGCACCCAAAAAACAAAAAAGATGAAAGAGAAGACCAATATAAAAGAAGATCAACAATTTGGCGTCAAGGCATGGAAAAACATCTGTATCAGAAATAATTGACAGCACACAAGACAGAAGGCTGTAGACAGAATGATTACCGACACCACTTGGCTTAGACTATAAGATGAAAATGTCTTTAATAACTTCAAGGAGAGTTTTTTTTCACTCTTTCAGTCCTAGGTGGCCATAAATGATGTCAGAGAGAGCCAAGAATGATGTCACTTAGCTCATGGGTATAGGAGGGGGGGGGAGTAAGAATAGATTTTACTGCCTCCCTGACAAACATGTTGTATAAGGTAACTTGTACAGAAGAAGCAGCTGCTTACTTGCAGTAATAAATAAAAAAAACAACTAATATACAACATATTTGTCTTTAACATTTTCAGGCTGAAGAGAAATCTGAGTCTCCTGGCCACTGATCCACTGACAACATACCCGGATAATGCTCACATATGGATTAGATTTGCCCGCTATTTTCTCCAGGTCAGTACAGTATCTTTTTCAGTTATACAGCATTTTGTTTAATTGTTTATAATTTTTTTAATGATAAAAGATAAACAATTGAGAGAACTGACTTCTTTAAAAACACAGCCTTCAGAGTACAAGGAAAATGGCTTGGCCACCTCACCTTAGAGGCAGAGAAATGGGATCTGTTGTTAGAGTCTTAGTAGCTAAGTAATTAAGCCTTTAGCCTCACACTCTGAAGGTCTTTAGTTCTTTTCAGGAAATTCATCAATCGGTGAAAATTGTATGGAGATTCCTGGGGATTGTGACTAGAGCCATGGAGATTGTCCTTTGTGCAATTCTCTTGCCAGACATGTAGCCATTCTGCAGAAAGAGAGAGACTGAGCCATTTATGATGAAACAGTTCAATGAAGTTTATCCTCTCAGCTTAAAAAAAACCTTTTAAAATTGAATAAAACTTACTTTATTTTTCAGGTGTCGCAGATTCAGTTCTCACCAGAAGAGAACACAATCTGTTGTATGTCAATAAACAAAGTTTTTTCAGGTGTCGCAGATTCAGTTCTCACCAGAAGAGAAGCAAGATTCATTTTTCCAACCAAAATGACTCTAGGTCAACAAATCCTGATAAAATGCAGGCTATTTTATTATATTATTAGACTTGAAATTTCCTGTGCAGCTTCCAGTGTACTATTTGGGGTGTTGGTAGTGGTTGATGGGGTAGGAATGTTAATTCTGATAAAAATCTCTGGTTGTTCTTCCACTTTTAGACTTTAACCTTGTTCCAGAACTTGAGTTTTGCATGCATATATGCATTTTACAGATCTGTCTTATTTGTATGCAGGCTGCGGGTTGAAGGAAAAACCCCCTAATAATTTGCCTTGTAAAGCATGCTTGTAAGTGAGAAGTGGGATTATTTTTTCCCCCTCCTCCCTCAGACTGGGGCTCTGGAACCCACATAGGGATAAAATGATAGATTGTGATTGAACACATCTGATTTCAGTAAATCATTAATTACTTGCCTTTTACAACATGCTTGTGTGTGAGTAATGGGTCTATTATTTTCTTACCCCAAAAATGGGCTGCAGAACCCACATAAAGAAATTTCATATGCATAAACATAATATTTTGATATTCTGCAGGTATACAACTTAATCTTCTACGCTCCCATCTTCAAAGACTACTATTGGAGGACCCTTGAAGAGTTCCGAGCAGACAACGTTCAGTATATTGAACTGAGAGGCGCCATGTCTGGAGTAAGCCTTATGTCTGTCACTGTGTTTGACTGTACAGAATAATTGCAATAAAAAAAAAAAAGGTAACAGATTTGATGCTTTATTAATATCCTACCCCAAACAGGATATCCACAGGTCATGGGACAGTCTAATATTTCAGTTGGTGGGACCTAGGCTGCATGCAGTCGTGGGACCTAGGCTGCACTCTCTCGTGGGACATAGGTGGGTTGGGGTTAGGGCCAATTCTAGATGTTTTGGGGTCATTAAAAGCATCAGAAAGCTGTGAAGCTCTGTCTTACCACCCTCTAAATTGTTGGACTGTCCTGTGACATCATCTGGGGTAGGATATTAATAAAGAGCCAAAGATTTTTTTTTTAAAGCCACTGCAAAAATGCTACTACAACCATATTATTATAGACCAATCGACACTTAATGGGTAGTGGATCAGTTTCATGCCAGCCACCTGCAAGATAAGAAGTTTGAGAGAAGCCATGAACAAAACTAGAAATTACAAGAACTGTTGGAAGAATATCTGTAACTGTTAAATTCATTGATAAGTGAAGACTGAAATAGTTTGGCCATATCAAGAGAATGAGGAGTGAGTGACCAGGGGATCTATCTGGCTGACAGTCAACACTCAGGGGATCTGACTGACAGTCAACACTCAGGGGATCTGGCTGACAGTCAACACTCAGGGGATCTGACTGGCAGTCAACACTCAGGGGATCTGGCTGGCAGTCAACACTCAGGGGATCTGGCTGGCAGTCAACACTCAGGGGATCTGGCTGGCAGTCAACACTCAGGGGATCTGGCTGGCAGTCAACACTCAGGGGATCTGGCTGGCAGTCAACACTCAGGGGATCTGGCTGGCAGTCAACACTCAGGGGAAAGGTAGGATGGATCTACACTAAGACTATTACTGCTACCATCGGAATTAGAACATTGTGCTTGCTGCTGAAGATGGGGATGGAGCGCTTATGGGAATGTCCAGAGTGCTGTGATGTTGGTTCTTAATGAAACATTCAACATTAAACATGAGAATGAATCAAATGATGCTAGAAATGGAAGTATACAAAATATAAGTTACAACACCTAGATTTAGGGGTATGACCAAGAAAACAATGGATTGAAGAAGTCGTTGATACTTTAGCTTAGATAATTATCATCTGTTAGTGTTACAGAGCAGAATATGGACAAAAGAAAGAAAAAAGAAAATAAGAAAAAAAAAGACCTGGAAGCCTAGATCAGTTACAAAAAAATTCACCTCAAAGTACCTAAGTAAGTTAAAGACCCTTTTTATGCCAGTAGTGTTTAGTGTTTAGCCAAAAAGAGCAACCAAGAGGTTTTAAAAGATGCGGGAGACCGAAGACAACTTATCACTGACATCAGAAGGAGACAGTCATCATTTTTCGGCCATGTTATGAGAAGAGGGAAAATAGAACATGTTGTGACCACTGGAAAGATCTGTGGAAGGAGGGATAGAGGAAGACAACGAGAGAAGATGCTTGACAGTCTTGTTGCATGGCATGGAGGTGTGTCGACACACGAACTGATACATGCTGCAGGAGATCGCGGATTATGGAGAGGTATGATCGCCCACGCCAGTCGGCAAGGCACCTGATGATGATGAGTGTTTAGTGTATATGATGTTAGACTGAAACTTTCAGTTAGCTTACATTATGTATCAAGGGTCAGTTGCGTATCCTTTACAGGACATTGCAGAACCAACCCCAGCAGCCCCTGGCTATTGTGTGGTTTCTCTAGGCACATTTATGTCCAGTAGTTTGCCATTGCCTCCTGAAAGGTCGGCTCCCTGATACCACTGGGGAAACCAACGCAAGGCGCATGACCCTCAGCTGGGATTGAACCCGGCACTCCGGCATTACGAACCGTTCGCATCGACTTAGCCACAGAGCCGACTATATTATGTATCAGTGGTTTAAAAAAAAAGTTTCATTGATAAGTGAAGACTGAAATTAAGTGGCTGTTCAACCTGTGGCATTATAATTGGGACAAAGACAGTGTGCATTGTATTTTTAATATACAACTCTGTCAATGGTATTTGTATTATTATTTATATATTGGAAGTGCAGTTTAAACTTGTAGTAACTTTTATATATTTTTATTGTGTAACACTCTGTATGGTTTTCAGGACCCACAGGTATTTCAGCTCTGTAACATTCAGAAGCTGCTTGCTACAATGACTCTCTTCTAGGGACATAATAAGCTCTAGTCATATGCAGAATTCACAGGTACACATTACCACATGTCCAAACACCAACACTGCGAACAAACAGCTAGTGAAACACATCAATGTTTATTTAGTTACACAATCGCCTCTAACCAATTCACCCTGTAGTAACAGACCAGGGATCATCACTCAACAGCAGATTACGACACATGTAGTTCTTGGAAATTTTTACCTTGTTTTATAGAAAATCCACATACATATTCTAACACCGAAACTAGACGTTCACAATCTTCCATACTGAATCAAAGCAACATGTCCGCTTTTGACCAGAATTGTCAAACGAGATGATAGCCAGGTTGGGCATGAGAACTGCAGCCAAATCAGATTCAAACATCAACTTTGATTCATCCTCCCGTACGACAAACACACTGTTCTTGGAACCTGAAATGAGACTGGCTGCTCTAGATCTTTCCAGGTGTTGAATAATCTTTCTCACTCACGCTCTAGATCCTCCACTTTTGTGATTCTCATGCTTTCCTATTTTGCACGAATTAAGCAATTTCCTAGATTGGCTAACATTTTCCGTTCGGCACATTTCATCCGTAATTTTCTCACCCACTCAAGTGCATAATTCATATTCATGGTCTGACCTCAGAAATTATTATTGTAACCATAAATTATCAGTGTGAAAATAACTCTTTATACCTGCAAAACAATTGTTCTACTGTTTCTGCAATTCTCCATTCATTGGTAGTTGTCATGATGTGTTGTGGTTTACAACAAGGCTGTGATATCTGAGCCTTTCGGTCCAACACATCTGATTTCAGCAGAACCCTAATTAGTCACCTTTTGCAGCATGCTGGTTGAGGTGGAAGGTCAGCGCCTGTGGTTTAGACCTTGCAAATGTGCTTCGTAATGCCGGGGAGCCGGGTTCAATCCCAACTTCCGGCGATTTGTCAGTAGATCTCCTTGTGCTGGTTTTGACAGTGGTATCAAGAGCGAACTATCCAGAAAGCAATTGCAATCTACTGGATGTAAATTTTTAAGAAAAACCACACAGCCCATTAAATGCATGTGTTGGTTCTGTAACATCTTGTAAAGGACACAGAACTAACTTTTGTTAGGGAAGCTGTGAGTCTGTTCCCTTTTCAACCAAAATGGGGCCTCGGAACCTACACAAGGATTCCAAAACAATGAAAGTTCTCGGTTCAATTCTTACAGGTGTTTGATCTAGATCATACAGTCCACAATGAGGAATTTGGTGTGCAGTTATACCAGAATGTCACAACTGAATTTGTGCAAGCCTATCCTGATTTTGTTGGAGCGAAAGTCATAATGTCTGGTTCCAGGTGAGATAAATATATTTTAAAAACATGTTAATGATATAACTCAGGTGTTTAAAGTCAAAGGATGGTGAAAAATTAATGGATAATTAGTAGATGGAGAGAATACATAGGAGGTAAGGGTAATATCAAGGAAATTAACAGTGCTTATATATACTTGATTACCTTTTAAAATTTCTTTTCATACTTTTATCAAAAACATCTGGTGCAGTTGAATGTAAAGACACATCGAACAATATATTTAAAGAGTCACGTAACTAAAATATTAATGAGAATTATCATGGGAAGGGCAAAATAAACCAGAAATTGGAGAAGAGAAGTGTGGTTTTGTTAAAGGTGAAGGCACAAACAACATCCTATTTATCTTGAGAACACATGACATGAAAGAGATCTATATTTGCGCTTTATTGCATTTAAAGCATTTTTTAAAATTAAAATGAAACATGAAGAAATTATTATAATTTGGAAACCTTAAATATTGATGATTAAGATCTGATAAAAATAAATTTAAAAAAAAAAACATATACTGGCAGCAAGAAGCAGCCATAAGGATTGACACCCAAGTTGGAACTTTTCAAAATGTTAAACAAGACATTAGACAGGGATATATACTATCACCCGATGTATTCAATTTTTAACAGTGAAATAATAATTAGATTTACAGATGGTATGCCAGAAATATTGGTTGGTGGGCATATTGTTAACAGCCTGTGTTATGCTGATGATATAGATCACTGGAAATGAAACACAACTGCAAGAAATGATGAATATCATTGTAACGGAAAGTGAAAACAGCAGAAAAACAGAAGTTATGGTAATTACAAAGAAAACTGACCCTCTAAAATTCAACATAAAAGTAATTGGGACAAACACCAAGCAAGTTGATATGTTTAAATATTTGGCTACCCAAATAACATCACATGGAGGATGTATTAAAGAAGTTAAATTTAGAATAGCTTAAGCAAAGGCAGCATTTTACCAAATGAAGAAAATTTAATGCAGTCTTTCTTTGTCAATTTACGAGAAAGAGAATTTTTAAAAGCTATATAAATCCTGTCTTGATATACGGAAGTGAATCTTTGGCGTTAGTAAATTAGTGAAAACTGATTTGGCAGCTGCGGAGATGTGGTTTTTTTTTTAGCCGAATGATGAGAATCCCTGGACAGATAAAAATAGTAAGGAAGACGTCTTGAAAGAAACCGACTCATGAAGAGAACTGATTGCCCACATCAGAAAAAGACAATCTACTTTCTTTGTTCATGTGATGAGAAGGAGAAAATGGGAGTACATTATGACAGTAGGAAAGTTAGAGGGGAGGAGAGGCAGAGGGTGACCAAGAGAAAAGATACTGGACAGCTTGATATAATGACATGGAGAATCACCTGTGTCAGAGCTGATTGAAAATACACGAGCCAGATGGTTGTGGATTGACATGACTTTTAGAAGAAGAAAATTGATTTACATCCCTCAGAAGATGTATTACAGAGATAAAAAACAGATAAGGTCAGGATAAAATTATATTCTACAGAATGAAGAAAATTTTGTGCAATAAATCCATGTCATTAGAGGTTGGAAAAAGAATTCTTGCATGCTACATACAGCCAGTTTTAACATAGGGCTGTGAATCCAGGACAATTAGTAAACATATCCAACAGTTTCTTGAGACCTCAGAGAATTTTGTCTAGAATTTCTTGGACAGCCAAAAAATGGCTACCCATATGTTTTGAAAGAGGCAAGGGCTTGAGGACAACTTATCACAAACATTAGAAAGAGACAGCTGTCATTTTACCCACATTTCATAAAGAGCTCTGATTTAAATTTAGTATAAAATAATTATAACACAGTTTTTTCATTTCATTTGAATGTTGAAATTACCTGTTTAGATTCCAAGATGCCATTTGGGGGTAGGGGTAGCAGGATAAATCCATTGCCGACTGACTAATGTCCAACACCACCAGGACTGCACAATGAGTGATAAATACCCATTGGCACAAAGGGCCACTATTCGGATGAGAATCACCCAGTGCAAGTCCCAGAAACCACATTTAGCCGTTATTTTATATAAGGGCCCTGACTACAACCGGGGTGGGGCCTTAAAATAACAAAAAGAATTGCGCCCATTACTGGGGGCGGGGTTATGTACGAATACAAATCCACTGCCTCTAAACATGCCCTTTTAGGGGAATCACAAAAGAAGAAGAAGAAGAAAATTGTTTCCATAAATATTATGCTTAGAATTTGTGTCTGTGTCTGTCAGAAATTCCAAAGCTGTCAAAATTCTTGACCAAGTGAAGACAGCAATGTACCTGAACCAGAAATACCCAGACTTTATGATGGGTTACGACCTTGTTGGTAATGAAGCTGCCTACAACCCGCTTCTCTTTTACATTAATGAACTTCTATATCCAGCCACACAAAGTCCACCGTACAAACTTCCATATTTCTTTCATGCTGGAGAGACAAGTAAGTCGTTTGTGAAGTCTGTTCTACTCATATTGTTAAAAATATTGTGTATTATATAATAAAGACAGACCATAGTAGCATATTATCTAGACAGACACCTACCAGCCCAAAGATCAAGCAGACTGCTGGTTAGGATTTTTGTGTGTGCCCCTGACAGGAGAACATCTCCAACTTTACCCAGGATTCTAACCCTAGTCTCTTGCTTGAGAGCCATGTGTTCTTGTCTGGTTCGGCCAGCCACCCTTCAGCACAAGTAAAACCTGTGTAAAAATTGCAATACAAAATTTATACAGACTCCACGGTATGAATGCAAGTTATTTTTCGATTTATAAAATTTTAAGGTTCTTAAAGTTTTTATTGTTAGCATCCAGACACTTACTATTAATCTTAGTCTTAGATGAGGTTTCAACTTTACTGCAATCAGGTTCCCCATACTTGTTCCGTTCCTGTGCCAGTGCAAATCAGATTCAATGTTCCTCACTGTTTCATTTGAAAAACTGGTGAACAAACAATTAGTGTAAATGTATATGGCAGTTGCTGTATATGCCAAAGCCAACAGCCGCCACCAGACAACAGTCACCACGATTAATATGAACTACTGATTGGGCTGCTTGCCTGTTAAAACAGTGTTCCGGGTTCAGTCTCCAAAAGTGCCGGGATGCTTTTCCTGACAAGTACAGCTTTGGGGTAATGAAGCCTTTTGAAAATATGCAAATGATAATTTTCTATTGATACAGCCTTTTATAAATGTGTACCAGACAAATGACTGAAATTTCTAGGAATTGTTTTGGAAGGAAAGGTGATGAGAAAGAACTCTGGCCACCACGGCTAATATATCCTGACCTAGGATATGTAAGGGCCTAACAATTCACTCTCCATCTGTAAATAGTATCTGCTAAATCTGCTTTTCAGCTTTACAAGTCTATAGTTAAGCAACAGCAAGGAAATCAGAATTACATTTATAATAGCATGCATCGTCCCTATAGCAACATACGGATGTGAGTCGTAAACTATCTGCCAGTCCTTAAGAAAGAAAATAGGGGCTTCTGAGCTGAAATGCTATAGAAAGATTCTCAGAATACCTTGGACAAAGAAGAGAAGAAATACTGACATTTTAAAAGATCTGAACATCAGGGAAGATTAGATAATAAACAGCATCTTGTCTCGGAAGCTGAACTATTTTTGTCATCTCAAGCACTATGGCAGATTGAAAAAATATAATAGCATGGTACCAGGAAGGAAGGGAAGTGGCCGACCAACACAAAGATGCACACACGATATAAGTGACTCCTTAAATATGACAGTACATGAGGCAGGAGAGCTGGCAAGAGACCGAGTTTCTTTCAGGCAGACTGTGATGAGAGTGATTTTCTGTAAAGGCCCTGCTACATGATGAGAATGGCTACTTTTACTGGTTTGACAAAACTGACCAGTGTCCAGTGGAATTTCTACTCATACAATGTTTAAAATGAAAAGAAGAAAAGAGTAAAGCACCATTTATGTGTCTTCTGATCATCAGGAATATAGCAAAGGTCCCTTTTCCTGTGTCTTTAGGCCTATAAGGCATATAGGGCAAGACCTATATTTTATAGTCCGGTCGACACTCGGTGGGTGATATAGTCAGCATCACACTGATCAGGCATATAGTGCTAGACTTGTGTAGACCCAACCCTTAATATTTGATGTGGTCATCATCACACTGACTGTATTTACTTCCCAGGGCATTACCTGGAAACAATTTTAGGTTGGGTAAGCCTAGGAGTCAAGGTGAATAAAAAAAAAAAAAAATCAGCCTAGATGCAAATTTGAACTCTTTACCTTTAAGCCGTCCAGTGAGCATCTAGCGTTTATACTACTGCGGCTCTCAACAATACCCTGGTTGGCATGATATTGGCCAGATCACCATCAAGTGCTGATTGGTACTGTCTGCCTAATGTACCTAACAACATGTATCCTAAACTACCCTTTATTTTGTAGTTCTGTACACAAGTCTTTGCGTTGATTTTTAAAATAGAATAAGAGTAATTCGCTGAGAAGCAACGGGAAACAGTTTCTGTTTTTTTTTAATTACAATTTATTTGGTGGAAGAGCGGTGTCTTTGAACATAAAGATTTACAGTCGCATAGTCAATGCAGTTGCCATCGACTGTACACGTTAGGACTTTGTTTTTGCCAACAGAAAAATACTTGACTCTACTGAGGATTTGTACTTAGGTCTACCGAGTTGAGTTAATGAGTTAAGTTAATTCAAGAACTGACATCACAATACTTGGGGCACTCCTATAAGCACTCTGTCCCTATCTTCAGCAGCCAGCGCAGAGTTCCGATACCAATGGTACTAGTAGCATTCTAATAGGTCTCCCGAATGAGAACCTATAATTCTTAACCATTTGGCCAGCCACTCAGTGGAAAACTACTGAGGTTAAAGTTGCCTAATAAAACCACAAACAGCCAACACTTGCTGTGCTGCTCTGCAACATCTTTAAAGAGGATATAGTCAGTAAAGTGAAGATCAAATTTCCCTTTCAGGGTCAAGTACGACATGTGATGCAAGACTCCTATTTTTATAGACCTATGAGCTCTTAAGGGGTGATCTGGTCAATGGCACCGGCCACCTTTACTTCCCAGGCCATTACCTGGTACCTTTTTTTGGGCTGAGTCAACCTGGAAGTCAAGTTTTTAAAAACAAATCAGCCCTGCACAGATTCAAACTCAAGATCTTTTGGCCAATATTCGAGTATCAGGCTAGTATGTTGAAGTGGTTCTAGAAGATGATCTGCATCTCACTTTAACCCTTTCACCCCGAGAACTCTAAAAAAAATAGGTCTTGACCCCATTAAGTTTCTTGAAAAAAATGCGTAAAAATGACAACAGTTTTTACACATGTCACTAATAAATTAATTTAAAATGTATTTGTCGAAACTTATTGAAATTTGTCAAAATATATAAAGATATATGAAGGAAGTAATCAATAAACATGAATGGGGTGAAGCATGAGATTTAATACATAGCCTGGGACCTAAAAACACACAAACATATTGGGAGACTCATTGCGTGACCCCATGACCTTTATCATTGAGGCTTATGAGAAAAATATGATGCCATCTTGGCTAAAAAAAAAGGCCCTTAGCACAAAGAAAAACCCCTCTAAATGCTTTAGTTAGACAATTTATTAATATCCTAAAATATTTTGTGCAATAAGTTGCTCTCATCTAATGTCAGAAAGAGAGTGCTAAAATGTTACATAGAACCTGTTCTGCTGTATGGAAGCAAATCTTGGAATGTCATTGAACAAATTAAGAAAAATTTGGCAGCAACAGAGATGTCGTTTCTGAGATGAATGTTACAAATACCTTGGACAGCCAAAGTAACTAACAATGATTGTTTGAAAGAAGCTAATGAAAGTAGATCTCTATATACAACAATAAGGAGGATACAAACACTGTTCTTTGGCCACGTAATGAGAAGAGAGGCATTCGAAATCAGTAAAGAGGGGTAGAGGCAGACCAAAAAAGGTGATGCTGGTTGGACAGAAATGATGGCATGGAGGGATATCATTAAGAAAGCTGTTCCAGGCAACCAGGGATTGTGATCTGTGGAAATACCTGAGCACTTACACCAGTTGGCAGGGTACATGATAATTAATATGGTTTCAGCAGACAACAGTCATACCTACACATGTGTGAACTCAGCCAGTTGCATTAACTATACATCTCTTAACAGGTCACAATAGGCATATCGGAAAAGCAACATTTATGGGGAACTGGACCCAACAGGAAGTGTCAATTTTTTGGCTTCTTGGGGCAAAAGTGTTAACACTAGTCTGCTTATTAATGAACTGTTTGTAACTTTAATGTGCCCTTTAATGTCAGCCTCTTTCAATGAACTTTAATGAACTTTAAATAGCATGCAATTGTAAATTGCTTTGACTACAGCTTGGATGGTCTTGCTTTACTGTACAAGAAGAGACCCGTAATGTATGCCAGAAATACGATAATATAGAGCACTATTTGCTGGATTGTGGAAAGTATGCAAGCCAGAGGAAATCATCAGCTGACTATATGAATCTCTGTAAATTACTTATGATGATGGAAAACTTGCTGCACATAAACAGCCTCAGAGAGCTGAGTGGCAAGGTCAACCATTTTATTACTAGTTCTTAAATCCATATATAAAAGAGTAAAGAATGCCTATGGCTTATTTGAAGAAGTTTCCCCTAAAGATTAAATCGAGGAGGATAATCAATGATTGCACACTGACGAAACAATATATCCACCATATTGATGACACAATGTTAGTAATTCTGTCTAATTATTCATAATATAATTTCTATCATAATCACAACCCAAATCAAAGCAAAATGTGAAACAATACAAATTACATTATGGTCATATAAATAATTACCTTGATATATAAATTTACAGTAACAAATATATATACTCTGAGAACTCAGTTAACACTATATATCCCAATTATAACCCTGAGAGTTGAGCAGGATATTTTTGAAAAATCACTACATCTACTACTCTTTCAATGAATTATATATTTATGGACACTACTGAAATATGTATTTTTGTTTAGATTGGGAAGGTACAGACATAGATGACAACCTGGCAGATGCAATCCTGTTAAATGCCACTCGTATTGGCCATGGTTATGCCCTAAACAAGCACCCCAAACTGGCACAGCTGGTCCGGGCAAAAAATATACCAGTTGAAGTGAATCCAATATCTAACCAGGTACTGTAAGCTTGTTCTTGTATCAAAGTATCACATCGTCTGTAATTTTCAATGTTTTCAGAAATGAAAAGAAAGTTGCTGAAATAAATAAAAGAGAAACAGTTGAAATAGTTTTCCGACATTAAAAGACAATATTTTTAAAAAAATCATACCCGAGAGAAATGTAGATGGCAAGAAATCAGAAGGATAGATGAAAGATACAACTGGGAGAACAACATCAAGGGATGGACAAACAGCAGTCTGAAAGAGTGCCCTTGCTGGATACAAAAAAAAAAAAAAAACACAGTGTGTTTGAAATGCATTGCAGCCAACCTTCATTGTGGAGATGGCACCTGATTGATTGAGGGACAGAGGTAAATGTGATGGGTGGACTTGGGAGTGAGCTGCAAAAGGTAGAAAAGGAGAGAAGAAGCTTGGCACGAGTCAGTTGAGGGCCTATGATTCATCCATTAGGGAATGAAGGACAGAAGAATGGAGTTTTTGTTTTAAGATGGACAGCTGAATAGAGAAATATCACCTGAACTGATCCAGAACACAAGATGCTTGATTTCTGCTAGTATAAAGGCAGTATGTTTAAATTTATGAAAATAAAATTGACTTTATCTCCCACTTCAAGCCAGCTTAAAATGGATGCCGGAAAATGTTCTGGGAAATAAAAGGTGACTTACATAATGGTCATAACACCACCCACTAAGTGACAATTGGGCTATAATAAGTTTGTAACATCAAATACCCTGCCTGCTTGAGAAAAGCCGCCAACTTAATAATTTGAGACAAAGTTAGAAATGTTATTGTCAGACAGATTGTAGGAACAACACCATGCAGCAAATTCATAGAGAAACAGAAGATAAAATGGTTTGGCCATCTAGTAAGAATGCAGCCAGAACAACTACCAACGCAGGCTCTACGCATGAAAAGATCTGAAGTGAAAGCAAGAGTCCACCCTAGAAGAACATGAATTGATGACATTAAAGAGCTTTTACATCCACACTAAATAACAATAGCCATTGCTGCCGATCAAGCAATGGATCGCAAACTGCTCATCCCTGCAACGCTTGACGGCAGAAGTGGAAATTGATGATGATGATCAAATACCCAGTACCCATCAAATGTCAAAAGGGTCCTTGCTTGTTACCGCTGGCCTAGCTATGTTCGTCATATGTAAATTCTGACATGTGGTGATGGTTATTGTTTTACTTCTGCCTGTTGAGAATAAAAGTGCAGGCATCAGGGTCTTATATCCAAGCACTGAGCCAGTTTTTTTTTTTTTTTTACATTGGTAAATTATATTTCAAATTTATAACTGGATAAAGCAAACTGTACAAAAGATTTATAGTATTAACCTTTAGTGGTATTACATTCTAACACTGAGAAGTATCTTAACCCTTTCACCTATACAAGTTTTGAAACAAACCTTTTCCTAAATTTTGTAACCAAAAAAAAAAAAAAATCTATTAAACAAAAAAAAAAACTTAAAAAATCATGTTTTCTTTTAACTGTTGAGCAAAATGGGATTTAGCATCAGAGGCTGAAAGGGTAGTCAAGAGAAACATAAAATCGGTGCATATTGCGTTCATTGGGCTTCTAGGTAGGAACTTATGAATGTTTGATGCGTCCTTGGAACTGAAAGAGTTTGTACGTAGGTATGTAGTTGTACCACACCAAGACATCACTCAAGTGATAAACACCCGGTGACACAAAGTGCCACCATGTGGATAAAGATCACCCATTGAGAAGTCCCTGAAACTTCTTTCAGCTATTATGGCCATATCTATGCCCCAGCTATATTCAGGGCTCCCGGCAGAAGCCAGCATGGAGCATCAAATAACAAAAAAATTGCATCCCACATAGGGACGACTTTTTTTTTTTTTTTTAACTGAAAGAGTTAATTCTCTGAAACTCTACGTTAAGAAACTAGGGGAAGAGAAAAAGAAGAAGAAATTTGAGTCTTAGTCAGTTTTTAAAATAGTCCACAGTTCAGCTACTGTGCAGACAGGAGAACAAGAAGGCCACAGTTCAGCTACTGTGCAGACAGGAGAACAAGAAGGCCACAGTTCAGCCACTGTGCAGACAGGAGAACAAGAAGGCCACAGTTCAGCCACTGTGCAGACAGGAGAACAAGAAGGCCACAGTTCAGCTACTGTGCAGACAGGAGAACAAGAAGGCCACTGTTCAGCCACTGTGCAGACAGGAGAACAAGAAGGCCACTGTTCAGCTACTGTGCAGACAGGAGAACAAGAAGGCCACTGTTCAGCTACTGTGCAGACAGGAGAACAAGAAGGCCACTGTTCAGCCACTGTGCAGACAGGAGAACAAGAAGGCCACTGTTCAGCTACTGTGCAGACAGGAGAACAAGAAGGCCACTGTTCAGCCACTGTGCAGACAGGAGAACAAGAAGGCCACTGTTCAGCCACTGTGCAGACAGGAGAACAAGAAGGCCACTGTTCAGCCACTGTGCAGACAGGAGAACAAGAAGGCCACTGTTCAGCCACTGTGCAGACAGGAGAACAAGAAGGCCACTGTTCAGCCACTGTGCAGACAGGAGAACAAGAAGGCCACTGTTCAGCCACTGTGCAGACAGGAGAACAAGAAGGCCACTGTTCATCCACTGTGCAGACAGGAGAACAAGAAGGCCACTGCTTCTTTGCAGCCTCCAAGTTGCTAAAATGAATGATTCAAAATATCATTTCAGTCATTGTAAACAGGAGAAAATAATAATTTTTTTTTAAATGTAAAGGGAAATAATCACAAAATACTTACTGATTCTATAAATTTAATTCTGTCATCTCTGATCTAGCTCATCATTTCAGTTCTATAGATTAGTTCACCCTTTGATCTAGTTCATCATATTGGTGTTTAAGATGAGTTATCTTATCACTGATATGGTTAATCACATTATTTCAATAAGATTAGTTTTTACATCTTTGATGTAGTTCATGATATTGATTCTATAAGTATAAGATTAGTTCGAGGAGCGGCTGGCTGAACGGTTGGAATGCTGGGCTCTCAAGCAGGAGACCCGGGTTTAAATACTCAGTTAGGCTTTGGATTTTTCTGTTGGAGGCACAATAAAGTCCTCACTTGCACAGTCGTGGAGACAGCACTAGCCATGCGGCTGTGAATCCACAGGCTTAAAGGCCTCCCTGCCTACACCGCAAAAGTAGTAATAAAGGCAGTTATTGGCAGTTTTAGTTTTTTTAAGATTAGTTCTCTCATCTTTGATCTAGTTTATGATATTCATTCTATATGGCTATTCTCTTCATCATTGAATCATTCCATGATATCGATCTATAAGATTAGTTCTCTCATCTTTAATCTAGTTTATGATATTCTTCTATAAGGTTAGTTCTCTCATCCTTAAATCAGTCCGTAATATCAGTCTATAAGACTGGTTCTCTCACCTTTGATCTAGTTTGTCTCTCAAATTAACTGCTTTCCTTCCTTTAGACCATAATGAACATGGTTCTGTTGATTTGGCCACATCCATCAAAGTGACTTATTTATGAGATGGTTATGACATCTTGAATGATCTTGCAATTTCAGAAATTTATGTTTTATTCACCCCAAATAATACCTCACATTTGTTTCATATAGAGTCATTGAAATATAATGCCCAAACTGTCAAAAAAAAAATTGAGAATCAAATCTGCAGTGTCTATCATGCTCTTAGTCAGCATGTAAATGTCACCAATTTTCAAAACAAGATGGAGTATAGCAGACCTAATAAACACAGCTATAGGATTTTTCTGCAAAGAATCACATAACAGACGCTGAAATGGGAAACAAATGAATTAAAGGAATGAGGATGCCCAAAAGAAACCCTACGGTGAACTTGAATGAGAGAGACCATACGTGCTGGACTAAATTACATGCATGATATTGAAAGGATTGTGAAAGATGGAATAAAATACAGGAATCAGATGTGAGCCCTATACGGCATATAAACAGCACAAAAAGGATTATGATGATGACACACATGAAAAGCATTTAAACTACTCAGCTTAATCTCTACATTGAATGGGGAAAAATACACTAACCCACTGATAGCACCAAACTTCAAATACATGGAACTAAAGAGAAATTGTGAAGATTATGTTTATCATGAATTAAGTAAGACTGCATATTCTTGCGGCTGGATGGTTGGTTAAGAATGCTGGGCTTTCATGCAGGAGGCCCTGATTAAAATTCTCTGTAAGATTTTGGATTTGTTTTCTGTCAGGGACAAAAATAAAATCCTAATCTACAGTCATGGTGACAACACTAGCCATGCGGCCCTAAATTTTCAGTCTCAAAGAGCCCTTTGCCTACACAGCAAAAGTGGTAAATACAAGATGTAGTAGAAGTCTTTGGGAGGGGGGGGGGTGGGGGGATTCTTGTCCAGGTTGGTGGGTTATAGGGGTACAGCCTAGAGCTGCCAGACATAAATATCTCTCTAAGGCACAAGATGTCTGATTAATCAACACAGAATGGACATGATTAATTGTCTTCTGCTTGTGAAGCTGTTGAGAAGGAGATTGTAATACCTATGTTCCAGTCAGGAATACTGTGATAATAGTCACTCCTAATCACAGAACTGACTTGGTGGCATTTTAATAAATAATGATTGTAAAAAGACACATAATTCTGAAAGTAACACTTGCTATATGTCATCAAATTCATATTTTAGTTGTATCCATTTGCAGGTCTTGCACCTTGTATCAGATCAGCGAAATCATCCAATGGCATCACTGATGGCTGACAACTTCCCAATTGTCATCAGCTCTGACGACTGTGCCACCTGGGAGGCCTTGCCCTTATCACATGATTTCTATGTAGCTTTCATGGACATGTCAGGGGAGGATGCTGACCTGACCTTCCTCAAGCAACTAGCTATCAATTCTATAAGGTTAGTCTTATCTTTGATTTGTTACACTGATAGTGACAGACTCAATGAGAATACTTAAGAAAATCCAAACTGATAAAAAAAAAAGTAAAGTAAAGATCCCTTTAAACGCCTTTAGGCGCATCGGGCATATGGGAAGAGCACCCATATTTTTACAGACCAACGGCACTCGGTAGGTAATGAGGTCAGCATTACGCCGGCCGTCTTTACTTCCACAGGACAGCCATCCTGGAACCCATTTGAGGCTGGGTCGACCTGCGACGACCCATACCATGATAAAAATCCACGCAGCCCGCAGTGGGTTTCGATCGCTGTACGTTGGATTACGAGTCAGACTCGCAACGCCTTAGCCACGGACACCGCTCAAACTGATAAACTGGGACATAATGGGTTGACAGCATCCAGAAGTCCCGCCTCAAGAAACTATCTTGGCTGTTCACACCGGGACATGCTAGGGTAAAGGGATAGAAAAGATCCGACAGACTGGCCATGTCTGCAGTGGTTGGTGGAAGAAGTTTGGACAGGGCAGACATACTGAATGCACTGTGTTCCAGAAACTTTGAGAGAAAGGAGTCAGAGATGATGAAGAAACTGGTTGCAGGGCAAAGAAAGTAGACATGCCTGTCAACTCCTGCGGGGCATGTTGAGCATGGAAACACTGAAATGGCTGCTACATCAGACGATGGAAAATGAATAGATTGGATCAGTGTGCTGGATGTCTGTATGGGTAACAAGTGACAGGTTCTGTCAGATTTGTGTTATCTTTTGTCTGGGTAATTATGTGAATTCTAAAACTTTAATGATTTGATTTGATTCAAGAACCGACATCACAGCACTCGGGGCATTCCCATAAGCGCTCCGTCCCTATCTTCAGCAGCCAGCAAAGAGTTCCGATACTAATGGTGCCAGTCTCATTCTGATTAAACGTCTGTCTTGCCTTACCTCTGAGATGTTAATATAGCTTAAGACATAACAACTGTATCCCTCATCATTTTAAATATTCCCATAGATAGATAGATTAAACAAAAACGTTTATCACAGGTATTTAAAAGTACATTTAAATTATATTAAGCTAAACAATCTAAACCCATAGAACTGTTGAAATGCATAATCTATGCAAGATTAAATAAGTAATTTACAAGCTTAAATATTCAATGTAAAAAAAAACATATGATGTCTCAATTATAACTTAGATGAGTTGAACTGGATATTGAAATATAAATTACTACTGCTCCTCCTCCTACTATTACTCAGCTACTATTACTAGGACTACAACATTTGAATTCTACAAGGTTAGTATTTTCATAGTGCAACTGGTTCATCATATCCATTCTGTAAGGTTAGTTTTTTATTAATCTGGGTAATCATAAAGTTCTATAAGGCTAGTTTTTTATTAATCTGGGTAATCATAAAGTTCTATAAGGTTAGTTTTTTATTAATCTGGGTTGCCCGGCTCTCTATCGAAGTTGGTTAAACCTGACTTTTGCGGCGGCTAGGTGACGAACTCCTTGTGGTCTTGGTTCACTCTCGGGGGTAGGCAGAAAAGCCACATTTCTCTCAGATTAACGGTACCTATAATGGAATCAATGCCGAAGGGTTGCGATATCCATAGTACCGAGCCAAAGGGTTTACAACTCATGGTTTCTGGATACGTAAAAAAAAATTTTAAAAAAATTAATCTGGGTAATCATAAAGTTCTATAAGGTTAGTTTTTTTTTTATTAATCTGGGTATTCATAAAGTTCTATAAGGTTAGTTTTTTTTTATTAATCTGGGTATTCATAAAGTTCTATAAGGTTAGTTTTTTTTTATTAATCTGGGTATTCATAAAGTTCTAAAGGGTTAGTATTCTATTGATGTACTAAATTATTTAGACAATGTATATTGCAGTGAAAGAAAAAAAAAAGTATTTAAGCTGCAACATCTGTGACTTTTGACTCAACACATCCAGTTTCAGCGAATCCTTAATGAGTCACCTATCACAACAGGCTTGTTAAGGGGCAAGGCTCCCCACCCCCCCACCCCACTCCACCCCCACCCCCAATGAGAAACAAACCACAACACACACAACTTGGCATCAAAACCCATGCAGGAAATTGGGAGGTAAAGATGAAAGAAGATGTCAGAACAGAAGCTGAAATTTGTTTTATTAACTCTTGTTTTATTAACTCTTTAAGTACCCGAGTATTTAGCTGTGCAGTTTCAAGGTAACGATAGTTCTCAATAAACATAAACAACATATAAGAGCATTATGTTACATATGAAGCAACACAAATACTAAGGGTTATTAGAGTAGCTAACCATGTTTTTATAGTATTAGTAGGTTAAACACTAGATACTATCTTTCGTAGTTTGGTACTCATGGGCAGTATGTGATCCAACATGGCGTGTTGGTTGGGACTACAAGAGTTAACATCTCTTATAATGTTTTAACATTACCTTTTTTTTCTATGTAAACAGGTACAGTGCAATGAGCCATAGTGAGAAACACAAAGCCATGAAACTATGGGAGACCAAATGGGACATGTTTATTAAAGGAGTCATCGAGGAATACATGCCAAGCTATCATTTGAAGTAAGATCATATACTTCCTGATTTGGACAATTTGCCTGCTGGAGTCAAGGGATTTAACAGTTAGAATTTAGGCAATATCTGGCCATTTGACAAGAATGCCATATTATTAGGCACAACAAAAAGTCATTTGGAAGAAATATAATGAACACAGAGCAAGGGAAAGACCATGCAGAAAATGCAGATACCATCAAAGCCAATGTTGAGGAAATAAACATAGTATATTGGAAAGAGCACATAGATCTTTTCATCCTCCTCCTCTTCTCACCATATTGGTGAGGTAACCGAAGGAGAGAAATATACGAATATTGTGAGATGCTTGATATAGTAATTTTTTTGAACTTCAGTGACATGCTTTTTAGAATTTAATAGGTTAAACGATGTTGACTGACTTTATAATTATGTGCCATGTTTTTCTTTCCATTTTAGTTTATTTTTCTGTTCATGTGTACATGTTAATTTGTCTGATTACTTGAAATTTTAACTTTATTACACTTACTTAGAAAAAATTATAACGAGAACTAGACAAAATGAAACAAACTGTATTTATTAATTTACACACCCTGCCTGTTTTGGAAAGCAGGGTACACAAGGGTAGAATTTAGTTCAACTGTAATGTGCACCATAATTATAACCCCTTAGGAGGTTGAACAAGGTCTCAGGAATTCATCCTGTTTGACTACTGCTGCCTCTTTGATTCACAAGGGTGGTAAAACCTTCAGGTACCAAGCCTGGAGGGGACAATTAGACACACAGACAAAGCAAAAGTGGGGACATCCCCATAAGTGATCCTTCCCCATCTTCAGCAGCAAGCGAAGAGTTCCAATTCTGATGAGACCAGTAACTGTCTGTATGTTTGTCTCACCTTTTTCTTGAGTGTTGAGCGTCGGCCAGACCCCTGGAACTTCCTGCAGCACCATTCTCCTCAGACTGTAATGATCTGTTTGTGCCTCTGCATGGTTCACTCACTCTCAAAGGGCTCTCACAACATCCAGCTTGTCATGCATCAATTCACCCCCAAGTGTTGCAGAACCGGCCAATCTATTTTCCTGTTCATTTCCGAACACACCGGCAGTACCTGGAGAACAAAGCAAAATAAACTGGTAAAAGTAAATGCTATAACACAGTGTGTTCTTAAAGTAACCATACCCCTACTTTCTATAGGTTAAAAAAAAAACAACAACTATAAATCTACTATTTACAGGTTTAAAAAATAAATATAAATATAAGCTTACTATAAATAAAATAAGTAAATGAGGCGGGTCATTCTGTTACTTGAATACTGTTCATACAGCATTTTAAAAGTCTATTTAGTTCACCACAGTAACTCCCAGGGCACAGGCTAGTGATATATTTTATAGACAAATTATTCTACTGGCGGTGATGTGGTCAACACCACACAGTTACTGCATCATGCCGGTTTAAAAGTTAACAAACAAAAAATATAATTTTAAAGTAGGTATTGTAAAATTAGGGAGTCGCCATAGCGTAGAGGCTAGACACTCGCCTGCTAATGGGAAAGTCATGGGTTTGCTTCCTGACGAAGCCGGACTTTTTTCTTTCAAAAATGACCTTGGCTGCCAATTTGACCCATCCTTGAGTGGGTAACAGGTGCAGTCCTGGGAAGTAATGGTGGCCGGCGTGCTGCTGACCACATCACTTATCAAGTGCCGATTGGTCTATAAAAATATAGGTTTAGCCCTATATGTCCAATACGCCTAAAGGTGTGGAAAAGGTCCTTTATTTATAGTCAAATTGGGTAAAGTAAAAAAAAAAAAAAAAAAACAATTAAATAAATTACAAATAAGTGTGTAAGAGTTTTTTAGAACACCATGTTAGCATTTGACTAAGAGAATATTAAATTTAGAGGTAAGGACAAGATGTTTAAAAAAAAAAAAACAGAAATATAACCTGTTTTTCTGAATGTTCTCATCTTCAATACACAGTTAAAAAACTTCACATGCCTGTTTTCAGTATCCAGGTTTCTGTGCCATGGTTGGGTAAACATATTTTAGAAGTGTCACTTTTAGGGTCTCTCTCTCTCTCTCCCCCAACCCCCACCCCCACCCTCTCTGTCTTCCCCCTCCCCCTCCAGATATTAATATTTTATTTCATTATATTCAGGGTGAACTATTGCTATATTGTGTTTTTGAAAATGTTGTTGACATTAAATCTGTAAAAACAGCATTTCAAAAACATGTGTATGTGTTTAAAACAGTGTTTACCCCTTGTAAATTTCAATGACAAAACAATATACTGTACAGTTATTATCTGGCATATTCCACTGTATGTTGCCAGGTACATGGCACAGAATTGTTATCAACATACAAGGAAGCACACACATAAATCCTTGTCATTGAAACACACAAATCACATAGTCCATTAATGAACTGTACATCACACCATACAAGTCATAGATTAGCTGTCTTATTCAGTCCTTCTGTCACAAACTATATCAAAAGGCTACTAGCCTTAATGAAACCTATCGTGCAGTCCAAATTTCCCTGTGTACCATACAGCTTAGTCTACCTTGAGGTTTGAATTAGTCAGATAGCTTCTCTGTTGGCAGCAGACAGGTGACTGTTTTATAGCTAATGCTCAGCATCTTCTGGTGCCAAGTTACAGGGGCCCATCTCTTTGTGTTTCCTACTCCGAAGAATTTGAAATATTTTGATGAAGTCTCTTGTGCCTTGTCCTTAGTCTGAATATAAACACATTGTCCCCCTCTAGTGAGGTGATCCTTGGTATATTATGGTGAGACCTTGTCTCCAACGAATGTGTGCTCACAAGAGCAAAAATACCATCAATGTATTGTATACTGAAGCAAAGACGTCTGCGCTGGCTGGGACATGTCTCCCGCATGGAGGATGGTCGTATTCCAAAAGATCTCCTATATGGTGAATTGGTAACTGGGAATAGACCTACAGGAAGGCCAAAGCTGCGCTATAAAGATGTATGCAAACGTGACCTAATAGATACCAACATAGGCACAGAGACATGGGAAAAATCAGCTGCAGATCGACTACTATGGAGACAGAAAGTGAAAGATGGACTGTCACATTTTGAAAGAAACCGAACACAACGAGCTGTGGAGAGGAGGCACCGGAGAGTAAAACTGCCTCACAACGAGGGAGTATCTGCTTTTGTGTGTAACCTGTGTGGCAAAGACTGCCATTCCCGCATCGGTACAGTCACAGCAGATGCTGTTCCCAAAGCCAGCGGCACATCTCCATAGTCCCCCGGGACTGACGGATGCCATTGGCAGTGAGGTGATGACATGAGTCTTGAGGAGACAGTTTGGTGTGGGTGTCCAAAATCATTTCACTAAGGTCACAGGAGATTTAATTAAAAGATTAATTAATTAATACAAAACTTGTGTTATTAGCTGTTTTATGAGGGTGGAGCTGTTAAAAAGAAGGGAACTGTTTAGAGTGTTGTATTGTGATAATAATCAGCTGTTAGTGTGTGTGTGCATGTGTCTGCATGTGTGTTTGTCTATGTGTGTGTGTCTATGTGTGTGTCTGTATGTGTGTGCATGTGTGTGTCTGTATGCATGAATACTGTATGTATGTATGTATGCCTGTATGTATGCATGCATGTTTGTATGTATGTGTGAATGTATATGTGTTTGTGTATGTGGGTGTGTGTGTATGTGGGTGTGTGTGTGTATGTATGTATGTATGTGGGTGTGTATGTGTGTGTAAGTGAGCGTGTATTATGTGGGTTTGTTTAAGCACATACATTTTACCACCCATACCTTTTGTTTTTTTTCTTGATGTTCATAATATGCAAATTGTTATATGAACATAACATGTTTTATTGATACATACAACTACCGTGTGAAAGATGGGTGACTGGAAGGGCCGAATGGAAGGCGGGCCTGCTTTCCCAATTTGTAACTCGTTGAAAATAAAGATCGTTCTTTCACTAATTACTGTTTGACTGAGTGATAGTTTAGCCCATCCGAGTTGTTACTGAAAGGTTTGGCACCCCTGCAAAAGTCGTATCATGGATGCCAGCCTAAAAGATGAAATCTAAGATATGAAGTTGACATATCAAATTTTATGATTAGAACGCAGATAGTGGTATACCAAGTATTAGCACTGGTGTACTGTAATAGGAGATATTTTCACCTTGATTGGGAAGGTTGGGGGAAAGCCCCAGGTTAACTAGAACACCGAGAGATGCCAGATACTCGGATTAACCGAGGTTTTCAAGGTAGGTGACGACCACATGTTATCACGTGGAACCCAAAGAGAACGACCACAGGTCACCATGTGGAACCCAAGAACGACCACGTGTTGCCACGTGAAACGAACACTGGGTATAAGTTCATACCCCAGTCTGATCAGACAGTATGTGTTGACCGTCAGAACAAGAGAACGTGAGAGTGATCGAGTGTGAATGCGAACGTGAAACTGATTGCTGCGAGATGAAGACCAGACGACAACATCCATCGAAGTAAATTCCAGCCAAAGCAGTTGTGTGAAACTTGATGCAATGACCAGATCCATCTATGCGGAGATGTGGAGCTGACTAGACAGAACTCTGGTTGGTGAATGTGTGAGGAGTCAGCGTGTTGGCGTCTGAACAATGTGTTGCGTGAAAGCTGTTGATTAGGACATGGACGGGACAATCGATGTCAGTGATTAGATGTCAATAAACAGTCTTGTTTCTTGGAGACGGTGTCGACTTGTCACAGCTATGCCATCTTAGAATGTGAGTAATATCATCAGTAGACACATCATCTCTTAGACAAGTAGCCAACTGTCATAACACGATTGTTAAGAGTGTCACAACACAGTGCAAGAAGACGGCATTTTGCATGTAACATGCAGTTTTGTGCGAGTGAGGAATGATACAATAAAATTTGGTATCAAGCTTGACATATTCAACTCTAATGTCCAGTCAGTACGAATATAAAAGGATTCTGGCTCCCAGGTCAACCCAGCCAAAAAAAATGGCTAACAAGTAGTGCCCTGGGATTTACACGTGGCTGGCATAATG